AAACGGGGTTGGACCGGTTGGAACACAAACAGAACAATGCCTTCAGGACAGATTGTTATTTCAGCGACTGAACTGTATTATTCAGGATTTTGAATGCGCTAGGAAGAATCTTGAATTATTTTTCACGACTGAAATGGAGAAGCCTTCACGGGCTCTTTAGTTTCTTGCCATCTTCAATAATCGATGAAAGTCCATTGTACAGGGTGTTTCCTAACTACGGTACGAAACTTCAGGGGGTGATTCGTTTGGTCGTTTGAAAGAAAGACGTTTCTATAAACATGTGCGGAGTTGCTTCAATTCTGAGATATAGGGCGTTGGTTATTGACTAATTTCAGTAATTCCTGAGTTATTCAAGAAAAAATGAGATTTTGTATTTTCGTTCTTCTCGAATATCTCAAAAACTATTGATTGTATGAAAATACGACTTGTCTCATACTTGAGCAATAAATATTGGAAATCAGTTGATAAGAATCATCGATATCAGGAAACAAGTTTGAATTGAAAATGTTCATCCTGTAATTCAATTAGAGGCGAATTTTCGAAAACGTATAGAGTTAATAGTCGAATATAAATAATGGATATCGAGAAGGCCGTTTCTGAATATACTGAATCGAATGGGCCTTGGATTTAGTCACCATTTTTTTTTGTTTGTCTGAAATGAGTTTTTGTCCTATTTTCTTATCATCCTGTATATTCCACGATAGTGCTTTTTTCGCCTTTCCTTGTCCTGCACAAAACATGAGAACAGTTCTTCCCAATAGTCAACTCAAGTAGAGTTCTAGAGAAAAAATTCAAGAAATGCAAGACTCGAAAAAAATCGAATTTTTGTTCCAATGGCCAATTGAGGAAAAATCACGAAAACATCCCGAGATGAAGTCCCAGTATATCATAATATGAGTGGTCCATTTAGTGTGTTGAGTACTGTATTTGAGAAGAAAAAACATACAAAATTGAAGTTTTTCTCGAATAACTCAAAAATGACTAAAGCAAGTCTAGATTTCCCAACGGATTCTGAATCAAGATAAAATTCGCTGAAACTTTCGTAATTTAACCTACTAACTATCTCTCATAGTTACCGAGATCCCAATGGTGAGGATCGAATTTGGGACACACTGTATCATTGAAACTATACGCATTTCTGTATGAATCCAAGAAATTGAACGTCTGTACGCTGATGAAAAAACAAAAACAGATTTTTGAAGGCTGGTCCTGACCTCATTAGAATAACGCGGTATCAAGTGCACGTGAGCGAAATCAATTTGGGCCGATACAATTTCAATGCATTGGCATTCTAAGTGAGTATATATAATTATGTGGTCCGTGGTTCTGACCGCCGCCGATATAACGTACCTATCATTTATAACAATTAACTGAAAATCAATAAACAATTGAAGATCGTTTTAGTGATTCTGGACCACCTCCAATCACGTGAACCAGGTCAGGCGCGGTCGCAGCCCAATCATTTGGGGGGGGGGGGAGGTGAACTTGAAACAGGAGAGGACAATTTTTATTTTCTTTATAGATAACTCATTTATATTTTTTTACTCAATTTACATAAGCTACTAAAGTAACCCACAGAAGCCCTTGAAAGGCTTGTGCGACGGGATCACCAGTTTGAATAAGTGGGAATCAAACCACTGTGACATTTAGGCTCCATTCCATATGATATACCATGCACTGTGCATAATTTAACCATAGATCTAAATCTATGGTTAAATTATTAAAAATCTAAGAAGCACCAAGCTCAATTATACAAGTGTGATCGCATCGCCTGCCCGTTCGCCTTCTGACCGAACTAACGGAACAAAAAACAAATGAAGTATAACGCGTATAGCGTTCATTATATATAAAAACATTCATTCATGGAAAAGTTAACAAAAAACTTAGTTACAATTTAAAAGAAAATCTTTTATTGGATTTGGAGAATCGGTTGATTATTTTCAACACGTTAGGAAAGATCTCGGGATGCATATTTAAAATAGCTAAGCCCATTAGCCTCTCTTCTGACATTCTTCCTCTTAGCCAAGTTTTTAGGCTCCTCAAAGTAGAAAATGATCTTTCTTCTATGGCGGCGGTTATGGGGAGGATTGCCAAAATGTTCAGTAAAATCTTGATATTAGGATAAGTAAGTCATTTTCACAAACCTCAACTGTAGAAGGGATACAACTGGTCACGTTTGAACTATTTTCTGCGAGCTCTCGCCTCCACTTTAAAATCCATAGCTGGTACTCTGTAACGACCGAAGAAGAAGGAACTCCCAGATAATGATCATAGAATTCTGCTGCCTTCTTCACATTTATTAGGTCATCCTCAGACCTCAGTGTATTCTGATTTTGACATAAAAATACCTAAGCCAAACAGGTCCGATGTAGAAAGATCAGAAAGGCGGTCTTTCAGATCATTCCTTACGCTGTCCAGTAATGGAATATAAACAGTTCTTTGGTAATATTCCTCTTTGTTTCCTTGGTGATTATCGCGATGAGTCTGCCGAGATACAGTTCGTGGTGCAGATTTTTGAGGGGGGTCATGACCCCTGTGACCCCCCTCGAACCGTGCCTGAACCAGGTCGAATATGGGCATTAGTGTGTGAAAATCCGCATTTTCGTCCGATCACAGGAACGCCTAATATGTTTATCATAATGAATAAAAGATACTGTCTACGCGACCGCCGCGGCGGTTGGATATCGATTCATAAACGACCACCGCAGCGGTTGGATACTTTTTTCAAGTTCTTGTTCCCACGAAAAGGGATATCCGGTAATGTTCAGAGAACATCGTGAGAACCAATAAGGGAAATAAAGTAGTTATTGGTGATTTTCTTAAATTTCTGGAGGTTATATGCCTCGGGGAACACCTCCCTTAGCAATGTGTTCCAGAGCCTCGCTGTTCGATGGATGAACGAGTCTTTGGAAAGAGATGTTCTGCAGTTCCCCAAAGTGACCACGAAGGGGTGCGAAGCCTCAACTCGAAGGGTCAATCCCGCGAGGACTGTCAAGGGAAGAACAATTGTTGATATTTCAGAAGAGCATCGTCCATGAGAATATCTATAAAATAGAGCCAGAACGCCAACTTTTCAACGGTGTTCCAGGGAAGTGAGTGAGTTTGTGAGCGAGGCATCACCCACGGGACGAATTGCCCTTTTTTGGACAGAATCCAACAGTTTCAGGGTATGTTTGGGTGCTGCGGCTGGGTAATGATACATAAACAACCGCCGCGACGATATTTCTTCCTTCTTCATAGAGATTACTTCCAAGCAAAGCGATAGCTCAGTTGACAGAGTATATGACCACCACAACGGTAACTCGAGTTCAACCCCTGCGAGGCCTAACTTTTTTTAAACTTCTTCTCACAAATAATTTTTCGAAAAATATTTTTCTCAGGAGAAAGGTTGATTTAGGCGAGTTAGGTTAGTTTGTTTGAAAAAAGTAGTCTCCTTTTTCATGCAGAAACCATATTTTCCTTCCTCATATTTCACGGCGGTCTTCTATATAAAACGAGGTAACCGCTGCAGCGGTTGTTTATGTTTCAATGTCCAACCGCCGCGGCGGTCGTGTAGACAGTGGCTAAATAAAAAGCAATAAACATATGAAGGTTATCTGAAGTCATGTTAGGTGAAGGAACAATGGAAAGAAGAAAGGGCATGAAATTGGCGTGTACTATCCTTCGTGATAATTTATTATTAATAAATAAACAAATTAGCGGCGCATGAGACGATGTAGACTTCGATGTACATGGTACATGCAATTACCAAGCAATTACCATTATTTGTTATCAAAATCGAACCTTCGTTAACCCTCCAGTGGTGACAAAACATGAGTCAGTTTATATGATTCTACTCGAAGGAAACATAATTGGAAATCAGATTATATATTTGAAAAAATACAATTCGATTCAAGATCCTCTTCATAGGTCATACATGATTTCATGGGATATAGAAGTCTTCGCGCTGTTCTGCTCCTAATATGGATGATTTCTGTTAGAAATAATATTTCATTTGTATGAGAATATATACCTTTGATTGAATACGCTCAAATTCTCATAAAATGAATTAAAACAAGAAATATCTATGTAGCAGATTTTTTACTTCACTGGTGACGCGGGTCTGACAGTCCGAAAACAATAACTTCTAGCTTTCTGGTTTACAGTGCAGAAGAGACCAAAAAAAAGGTTGAACCAGAGAAAAGCAGTAAAGGGAGCATCGCGCAATAGCCCCAATATTTAAAAAAAAGCATTTCTGAGAGACCACAGGTCACCACTGCAGGGTTAAAGAATTTCGAGGTTCGGCCCTATTTCCGTCTAACTTTCATGGACTAAAAATAATGAGTGATGAGAGACTGAAATTCAAAATATCATTAAAATGTCTGTTATTTATGAAAATCTCTAAAACAGTTACTTTCTGCAGAACAACACAAAAAAATCTTACAAGCACCACATCGTGCGAATGTAAGGTTTTTACATCCTGGCTTGCGACACCGTGATCTCGATTTTTATGAGTCCCTCATGAATTCTGTCAAATGAAGAGCACGTTCTGCCCTCTGGTTCTTATCAGGAATAGGCTGAACCAGTCTTTGCCGTTTCGGTTGGAGACTTTCTGCATCTTTATCATCAGAGCAATCACTATCTGCTTGGTTATCACCGTTCCCAAGGTTTTTATCCTCATCGAAATAGATCATGGCTTTTGCTAATGCTAATTTGAAATCTAAATAGTCCATTATTTCTCTTTTTGACAGAGCAGAGTAATGAGCATCTTGACGATATTCTAGCCATCCAGCAGCAGCAGCAAAATCGAAAAAGTGGAAAATACAACGGATCGTCCACTTACTGGTTCTGTTTCTCATGGAATATTTACCAATAACTCTATCTAAAAGGTCAATACCTCCCATGTATTCGTTGTACTTCTCCACAACATGAGGTCGTTTTGAAGTGACGTTGCCTGTTCCAGGTTTTTGCAGAATGTGGCCGTAATTTGGACAGTGGCTGTTCGTCTGATGTGTTGAAACCATCATCGTCTGGGCCAATGTGGGCTAGTGGCTCGTCATCTGAATCCGGAGGATTGGTAATTCCATCATCCAACAAGTCTAATTCTTCATCAGGATTCGGAAAAAGGGATTCGTTTTGATGTAGAATATCTTCATCTTCCTGTTCATCATCAAAACCATATCCTTCGATATCTAAATCATCTAAATTGATATTATCGGCAAGTTCTTGCAACTCATGTGGATTGAGTGGTTCTGAAAAATGAAAATCGATTGTATCGTTGTAGTCCCAAGGTATCACCTATGATACCTAAACCTATAATAACACCAACACTACCAGCGTTCGATAATATTCGCTGTTTGAATGAATTGTTTCGATCAACAACATCTAATCAATGATTCCAATCATAAAAAAGTTATATCTGTCGAGTACTTACTGTTTCGTTTATTGAGAGACATGTCTGTACAAGAATGTTAACACCGACCAACACTAAACCAACCTAGAACATACTGAAACGCGCGCGGATTTCGAGAGGCAGGCAACACGTATTGCAGACATACCTATCAAATATAATACGGATGGTACCGTATCGAAATTTTTGAACTGATGTATCATATATGATACGTCTGAACCGAAGAGGTTAAACGAACATTTGAAACACGTGAACGCTCTTCCATCAGTTATTTACGGCTATCACCTTTGATTTTCCTTGAACTTTGCATCATTTCAATAGAAAATGTTAATATTTTCATGGAGATATTTCAGAAAATATGACCTATAGATAGATGTATCAGAGTCGTGAAGACCTTCAATATTAATTGTTCCCGCACATTCTTCCATGAAATTGATCGGAACATATGGGGCGTTATACAAGGTGTGTCACGGTAGATGAAACCAGGGACGGGCCCAAATCTTAGGAGAGTTTGAGAAAGTTACACAAACAAACTTTTCCTGGTAATTATTGAATTAAAATTACATTTCCAGTTCCATCAGGCCAAACCAGGCGACTCATACAAGGTTAAAAGAACACCTAGCTCATTTGAAATATGGTAGATTATTGTGAGGGTTATATTAGTTCAATCCCTTATATGGCAGTGCGGGTTTGTTTACATTTGGACATGTATATTTATCTATGCTTCTTGAGAGAATTATGGCAGATGACTATCAGTGCATTTATTATACAACGATTAGTATGTTTTGGAAAATTGGGGCGATACAAGACAAAGAACAAAACCAAATGAAAGAATACATTTTTGTTGAAAAAAATAATATTGTGAAAGATATTGAGCTTCAATGATTGCCTGAAACTCTTGTGAATCATCGATAAGATGAGAAGTTAATAGCCCAACCCAAGCGTTTGCTTTCGGCGAGATCACGAGCACCGGAATTATCAATGACTTTTGCAATGCTGCCAGACGTGCAATAGTAGTTCAAATAATAAGTATCATTGTGGGAGAGCACATTATTTGAAAAATTCACAAAAATATTTTATTTGTGATTTGTCGTCTTATGCCCTATAGAACACCCCATTTTATTTACTGTACCGTTTAAAAAAATCAGATTTCATGTAGGTATATAGCATTCAATTAAGTTTCTTGGATTCGTGATTGACTTCTACATCCTTCAAGGTACAGAGGTCTTGGATCAATCTACAAAAGAATTTAATCAAAAGTTCCCGTGCTCAGCTTACTGAGATTGGATTTCTTTTTGATTACTTTTTTACCTGACACATCGGTATAGATGCTAGCACACATTTTCATGTATTATACAAGTTATCACAAACATGATTATTGTAGTCTGTCAGATCACTAAACTTTTGCTTCAACTTTTTTCATTTCAATTACTCGTAACGAGAATTCTCTGATCCAAAGTATCATGCAGAAATTAAACTGGTATTAATTCGTGGAAGTTTGCCGTGTCATGCATGTTAGCTCGATATTCTCAATTACCTTGAATGCAATTATTCCACATCAGAACAGGCTTATGCTTTTGACAGAACGGTTTAGTCGCGACCTAATACGCATGCAGAAACTGAACTACGGACTTATGCAATGACGATCACTCGAAATAGGAGCATTCCCTTCAAAAGTCCAAGTTACGATGGCCAACAATAATGAGGGTTATAATTATTTATTGTCCACCAAACCTTCACATTTTCGTGTCACTTGGCCTTTTGCCATGATATCTTCTTCTCCGTCAATTAAAGAATTGGTCGTAAAGTTCCACATTGAGAGTGAAGAATCGGCTCAAGACTTTCGATAACTTGTGATTTTCTATTTGTTCACATATTCTACATATTTTTTTTCGAATATTTTCGATAAAACAGGTCATAACTTTTAGGCGAGGGGTAAATTCAAGGGGCAATCCGGTGAACATCATAGGGGCTTTGCGGGGTAATGGAGGCAGTGTGGGGCATTGTCGGGAATTGTACATTGCAAGGCATTGTATGGCATTGTGAGGCATTGTTAGGCAATGCGAGGAATTGAAGGGACACAAAAAGGGCAATAGGGTGCAATGTTTGGGCTGAATTTGTTACGCTCGCATCTGTTTTTGTTGTTCGAGGTGATAGCTCCATTTTGATTATAATAAATAATAATAACATTTATTGAATCCTTCACGATCATAAAAAATGACAAAGGATACGTCAGACAACAAGAAGTTCACACACAATTTACATACAGATACATGAAAATATATTTTATTTCGTCAGATAAGTGATTATAGAATTTTGCTCCCTTATATATAAGAGGGACAATTTTCATACAGACGAATTGAATGATCATAATTCTGCATTTGTTTCCTGAATAATAAAATACATTTGTAAATATTAATGCAAGGTACACACAGGATATTATTCTCAATAAAGAGTTGCCTACAAGATTCTCTGTAGTCTATTCCATATATTAGCCGTATGACCCTTTTCTGTGAGACGAATATTTTGCTGAGTTTTGACGAACATCCCCAAATGGCAATATTATAAGAAATATGGGAATATACAACAGCAAAGTAAACATTTAGAAGTTGAGCCTTATCGAAAGTGGACCTCAATTGTCTAATAGCATAGTACCCACTGTTCACTTTCTAACTGACATGATTTTCATACCCGACTCCCATGACATGTTACCATCGATAAAAGTACCTAGAAATTTGCTGTTGTCTGATGGTTTAATTATTGCATCACCCACTCTAACATGAAGATTATCATTTTTTCTATTAGTTCTGGAATAAAACTGCATCAGAACAGTTTTTTCTACATTCACCACTGAAGAGTTTTCATTACACCAATTCGGGAACTCGAAGCTCAAGGTATTCAATTTTTCTTGGAGCTCCTCTGGGTTATCTGCAATCGCTGCAATCGTTGTATCATCTGCATACAAAACTACATAATCTGAGCTTATATGATTGGGCATGTCATTGATGAATAGAAGAAAAATGAGTGGACCTAATATAGAACCTTGAGGAACCCCAAGATCAATGTCATACTGCTTCGACTGGCAATTGTCGATTAGCTGATCTTCTTGAGCTATGGTTTAGCTCTAGGGGCGACAGCCGTTGTCAACTTAGCTGGGCATATAGGACGGTAGAAGTAGGTAAATGGTATGGTATCTGGTACTCGTAATTGATCCTGGACAACACTAATAGGTCAGACGTCAGGCACAGAAACAACTCTCAACCACCTATCACTTCAGACCCAGACAAGCGTGGTAGGAGACAGACTGGCTGAAGATATACTACTAACAGCCCTAGGTGAGAGGGAAGTTCTAATTAGAATCTATTAGGACTCCAGACCTACAGCAACAAGGACAGGAACCAAGGATCTTCGTGAAATGTTATAAAAATGAGGAACGCTTACGTGGATGGAAGTTAGATGTTGTAGAAGTCGTCAACTCCGGATTGAGCAGACGAGGACAAGATGGTGGTTCTGCCGATTGAAATCCGAACAAGTCGATAGTTGAAGAACTCACCCAAGCGAAAATAACGGTATACTCAACACTACATCAAAATCTTCAACTTGAATTACAGAGATTATTCAGTCCCCCAATTAAGGATAACTTGCTGATTTGGAAATTTAAAAGGAATAATCACTGCCCGGAAAGAAACACTCTTGCAACGAAAAATTCGACAAGAGGAAGAGCTCGCACACGAGAAATATTCCAGTCAGTTATTTTGATAGGTACTTGAAGTTGAGGGCCATATTTTTCTTGGTAGGGGAGATGTGTCAAGTAGGACAAATGCCTATGGAATAATATCAAATAAAAACATCCAGTGCGGTGTAATTTCGTTTTCGGATTCTTGCAAACCAAGCATCGATTTCGAATATAAATAGTTCACGAATCGATACGCATACATTCCTAGCCTACAAAATCGGTATTTGACTTCCTAATTGAATTAGTAAGTCACGAGTTGCTGTCAAAATGTTCACCGTCTCCCCGACTTCGATCCTGCTGGTCAACCCTCTGTTACACTCATAATGTAAGTACTATTTTGTAATGTTTTTTTCTCTGAAATGTTTTTTGTTGTATTCGATCTTGCAATTCACCATGGTTTTTCTCTGCCATATGGCAGCATTCATCAATGACTTCTCCATTCAATCAATGAATGTTAATTTCATCTGGAAACTGTCTTGACTCTTTATTTGGAGATCAATATGGTTGGGTGGTAAAATGATCAAAACCTCTCGTCAAAATGTCAAGCGAGTATCTAAGTTGACCCATAGGGTGGTAGACATTTGAGTGGCGACAATATGTGATAAGTTTTTGTAAATACCTATCAGAGACAACCTGTATGAATGCAGTCCTTATACCCACCTTGGAGAACGTTAAAGCTGCAACACAATTGAGTTTTTACGCCGGTGGGAGTGGAAGTTAGTTTCTTTGGTAACAAAAGAGGGGCAGAAGTATTATTTCCTGGACATAATTTGACATATTTTCTCCCTAGGGAGTTTCTACCAACTTTACATTTTCAGCATAGCTCTAACGATGTATTCTGGTTTCTGGGAACGCCTCTCAAACAAACTTATAGGTGGAATTCCAGCATTGATATTTTAATAATTCTGTATTTTTGTTCCTCATATTTTATATCTTGAACCTGAAGACTTATTGCATGATTAGTTGCGTTTCATTTGTTCCATTCTGGTAGCGGTGGTGGAAACAGAATGACATTTACAAATAAATCTAGAAACCTCATGACCTTGCATAAGAGAATTGACATATTATAGATGATGGAGGTTATATTTATATATTGGCCATTGGGGCTCCGAATAATTTCATGATCATATAATATTAGAGTAAAGAATCTAGAAAATGAATCAATGCATATTGCAGTGATTGTGGTGATTGGAGAAACTTCTCTGAGATCGAGATATTCATTTTATCTGTGAATGAACATGAATATGAAACCTGTCTTACTTGAAAGAATCATATACTTGTGAACCTCACGATAAAAATGTCTTCTTTCTAAATATCTCCTACTTTCAAATTGTTCCGATTGTCGGCAATCTAATTGAATTTTTTGACAACTGTCAACAGTCATTCCTACTCATTCCTTGTAGGAAGGAGGAATGAGAACTAGCAACTGGAATCGGAAAAGTTGCAAATAAAACGACACATCATTAAGTGATTCCGGTGGCGCAACTATTGTGTCGCAGCTGCGTTTACTTGACTGAAGAATACTTACTCGAGTAGTCCGTGCTCAGAGAACACCTCGCTCATGTCCGAATCGCTCCTGGGCAACACCAGTTTCGGCAACACCGTCGCCTTTTTCCTGCGTGACTTTAATGTAGCCGTTCCGAAGTGTAGCATCTCCGGCACCTTGTGCGGCGAATGAGGCGACAGGATCGTCAGCCGCCTCTCGCCGGGGCTCAAGCTCAGGTACCCGGCAGGCGGCGGTAGGCTCAAGTGCTGAGGTATCCGCATCTTCCCAGACCACAGCACTCTCCTGCGTTCCGCCATGCTGATGGACTCGTCGCTGCTCATCAGCAAAGACCCTTCTCCACTCACTGCGTGCCGTTTAAGCTTCACCTCCCGCTCGATACTCTCCAACGACTTGGCTTCCGAAGTCTCGGAGTACATTCTGCGCATGTCGCGCTCGCTGGACGTGAGGAAGGATCTGGGCGAGGCTCTCAGGCTCTCCATGCTCTTGGTCTGGTCGCTGCGGACGTTGGCCGATAGGAACTGGCCCTTGTTGGGCGGATCGTAGTCCTCTTGGGAGGAGCTGGAATGCGGCGACTTGGACAGGAGGGAGTACCTGGGGGAGGCTTTTTGTGAGACGGATTCGGACTCGGACTCCATGGAGTCGCCGCTGGCTTGCTGGGTGATGATGTGGCACTGCGGTGTGACTTGCTCGTGGACGTTTTGTTGGGTTAGTGTCACGGTCGAGGAGGTTTTTGATAGGGGGATGGGTTCTTCTTCCTCCTCCTCCATTTTGGTTGGTTGATTTTTGGAGCGGGTGGGGCTAGAGTGTTCTTGTCAGAGAATGCAGCGGGTGCTCATTATTTTTCCTATGAGGGAAAAATGGGATTGCGTTGTGAGTTCGTCATGGTTTTGTGACCATGTAGCAAACGAATGAATTATTTTCACATTGAGTAGATTCTAATGCAAATATTATATATCTAATAGGTGGAAAGTCATCAGGGTGCGTGATTATTTCGGTAGGAGGCATACTATGTGGCGTAGACATTTAAACTCCATATAATTATACCGGGTGGCTACGGAAGTATTGCCTACGGAATATCTCAGTTATTGTATGAAGTATAGGTTTGTGAAATTTGGAGCGTCGCTATAATGACATGAGAGCTAGAATTTGAGCATATTGACATGTCGAAGTTAACTTCCGGTCTGACCGGAAGTAACATCAACTTTCTTATTTTAAATGGAAACCCTATTTTTTTTCTTTTCGCTTTATTCAGCTTGGTATCTAACCAGAAACTAGATCAGAAAAAAAATATTATTGAAAAATTGGGAAAAAAACAATACTCTGTAGGTCCATAACTTAAATAGGAACATACAACTTTTTCATTTAAAATAATGACTTTCTATTATATTATCATTAGAAAGGAATGGTGATGCTGAATAGTACAGGCAAGAAAAAGTTGTATGTTTCTATTTAAGTTATGGACCTACAGAGTATTGTTTTATTCCCAATTTTTCAAATATTTTTTTTGGCGGCTTTTTATAACGCCGACGGATGAAAATAAAATATCACAGTAGTAGCAACTGTTATCAAGTGACGTATGGTTTCCATAGCCAACTTTTCAACTTTTGGCTTTCATTTTTGCTTCCACGGCCTATACTCGGTGAATTTCAATAATAATTTTTTTCTGATCTAGTTCCTGGTTAGATACCAACTTGTGATATGTCATTAGAAAGGAAATTGAATGCTGAATGAATCGAAAAAAAAAATAGGGTTTCCATTTAAAATCAGAAAGTTGATGTTACTTCCGGTCAGACCGGAAGTTTACTTCGACATGTCAATATGCTCAAATTCTAGCTCTTATGTCATTATATCGACGCTTCAAATTTCACGAACCTACTTTATACAATAACTGAGATATTGTAGGCAATACTTCCGTAGCCACCCGGTATACATAGATAGATTATATTCAAACATCTTATGGTAAGGCAGAGAAACAATCATTGATTAGTATGAAATTGATTAACTTTTTGGTTCAACATTCTAGGCATGTTCCTTTGTCCTTTGTTGAAGTCACAGAAACGATATATACAGTCCACAATAACATGAACAGATCGTAGACACTTTGGAGATAATTCGAGACTTGATTCAAGACAAAACTTCATATAATTATGTAATAATTTTTATTAATAATTTATAATAATTTATTAGCAGCAGCATGTACAAATTGCAGACTTCTGAGACGATACTTATGTTATACCTATATGTTATAGTTAAAGTTATCAAGCCGGAGTTTCAAACTATCACAGTGAACTAATGCTATCCTTACATCTATCAAATAAACACTGCTGCTCCCAGATGAGCTTTCTGTCAATGCACACACCTATATGTATTTAACTTATGAAGACCATTCTAACTGATGAACATCCAGGGCTATTCTGTTCTGGGAGGCCTCCGCTCCCTTCCGAGTGCAACTAATTGTGTTTTTGCAGGATGCAATTTGATCTTTCATCTAAGGAAGTATTCCTGAAGAGAATTCAGTGCGTTTTGAAGGTTCATAGCTGCTTGCTCGATATTTGTCGAATATGCAAGAACTGCCGTATCATCAGCAAAAAGCGACATTTTGCACATCACTGTCTTGGCAAATCGCTAGTAAATGAACTGTACAACAGCGGCGATAAAACAACACCCTGAGGATCACCAGCTTCAATGGGCTTGATACCAGATCGTTGTTCATCAAGTTAAACTTGGGAAGGTCGTTTATTTCAGAAATTCGTACAACTATTTGTATATCTACACGTTCACAAAGATGAGCAATCCTCACTTAATTACATCAAGTGCGTCTTACAAACGAACATATTGAGCCCACCATGTCATCCATCCACTTGAAACTAATTACGGTAGTGAATTATCCTAGAAGATTATGGTGATTCGTTCGTATTTTCTGTTTGCCCTAATTTCGGTGATTACTGAGGTCCCCTGACGTAATTGGTCCCAGAAAATCCTTACTCGTTGAATATTCATATACGATGTATTACGTCGTCATAGTTTATCTTCTGTAGTCTATGACCATATAGGTATGTACCTATAGGCCTGTTAGTTTATATTGCTGAACCTGTTAAAGTTGATCATTTCCCATTGTTGTCGCTGTTCATGGCATTATGTAAACAGAGAGAGTCATAGAAAAAAATCGAGTTTAGCAGGTAGAGCAAGCACTAACGAACATGTCTTATATCTTGCCCGATTGTTATGAATCGATTGTAAAAATGGTGTTTAAAATTTGAAATGCATGAAATGAAATTAAACGATAGTCTCTGCTGCTATATAGTGTAATAATCGGATCCTGTTATTCTCAATTTTGTTGATTTGCTCTTCTCGTTAACAAATTCAAAATAAGCAATAGAGCAATAGCAATAGAGAAGCAAATTTGCTAATATTACTATAGTTGAATATTTGAGATTCAACATTATCGTTCAGTTCATGAAATAGTTTTGTTTTTTCACTACCTACTACCGCTTGCCATACGGCAAAAAAAGTGAAAGATGGGTTATTCGAAATAGCTATTTGGGTATTTAGAGCGCAAAGTGATAGATTGCCGCTCGACAAAGAAAGTTTCCGCGCGATGCGGAGCGGAGCGCGGTAATCTTTGGAGAGCGGCAATGACACTTTGTGCTCGAAATACACACAAGATTTTTTCTACTAACGCAGCTTTTGGAAATAACTACCCTGAAAGTATGAGCGATTGAAATAGTTGAAATAGCTAGTTCTTATCCATATTATCCCTTATGTCCACAGAAAACAAAAAAAAAACTTGAAATAACTGTCAAGCCAGAAAAATAAATGTCAGGCCTACCGAGAATTGAAACTGGACCACCAGCGTGGCAACCTGAGCTTCAGACCTCTGAGCCATAGTACAATAAACTCTGCAATCAAATTGAACATTACTCATTGATGCAATAAAATGAAGATACACTGTCTTTCTGATGATAACAAAGAGTTTAAATATAAAGTATAATTCACCGTTTTCAACAGATATTCTTCATCGGGAGCTTCTTGTAGAAATTTGTTGGCATTTATCTTCAGCGGTGAATGTTTTGGATTTGTCTCGCTTTATATCCAATAGATTGTTTCTTGAGAAATGCGATAAGTTTCAAATACTTATTGATTCCGATAATAATTTTAACATTCAAGCATGTATATACGTACCATCGAATATATAGAACAATGGGTTGATGACTTCAAAGTCTTTGATTTCTCACCAAAATATGCCAGTAAAAAGTTTTCTGAATACATATTTACCATCTTGGAGTGGCACCAATTTATGAATGTATCATATTGTAATTCATATTTCTTCCTTGATTTCTCCGGTAAAATATTCAAACTCATGCGCTTTCTGCTATATCAGGAGGTGTGTTTGATGGTTCACTGTCACTATTTTCCATCATGAGAGAATTGTGGATTTTCAAGAATAGATAAGTATAGGTTACAGAGATGTACGAGCGTTTTTTCAATATTTCCGCTCACGAGCGCAAATGCTGTCAAAGAATGACATTTCTGGGAAAACGTCAACTTTGTGTCGGAATTTGAAAGCGTCAAAGGCTATTTTGTTGAGCGTTTGTAGAAAACCAATATTCCAGTTTTAAGATGGAGTAGTCCAGATCTATCGCCGATTGAGACCTTGTGGCATATCATGAAGAGAAAAGCTCCGAACGAATCCCACAAGAACCATTCCAGAATTGCGAACACGTCTCCAAGAAATTTGAAACAGTTTTACACCATATTATATGAGTTTACACTAGTGCTTAAGACGTATCGGAGCAATAATCAGCCAAAGAGGCGATGTAACGCAGTGGTTTGCTGCTATTTGGATTCTTTCATTTTCATTAATCGAAAGTAACCATACCTTTGAAGACATCTATTTCGATGCTTGGGATTACTATCAGCAATAACCTGTCTTGGGAAAATCACGTGAGATCAATTGCTAAGTGTGCATCCCAAAAACTTGGTTTTCTGTTTTGGGGCCAGGAGCTATTTCACTTCCAGTCAGCTGCTTATGATCTATGAGGCACAGATCCAACCTGTCCTGGAATGTTGTTCCCATATTTGGAGTGCAGCACCCAATAACACCCTGAAACTGTTGGATTCTGTCCAAAAAAGGGCAATTCGTCTCGTGGGTGATGCCTCGCTCACAAACTCACTCACTTCTCTGGGACACCGTAGAAAAGTTGGCGATCTGGCTCTATTTCATAGATTTTTTCATGGACGATGCTCTTCTGACATATCAACAACTGTTCGTTCCTTGGCAGTCCCCACGAGATTAACCCGTCGAGTTGAGGCTTCGCACTCCTTCGTGGTCACTTTGGAAACCTGCAGAACATCTCTTTCCAAAGACTCGTTTATCCAACGAACAGCGAGGCTCTGGAACAAATTGGCAAGGGAGGTGTTCCTCAAAGCATCCTCCAGAAATTTAAGAAGAACACCAATTCCTACCTTATTTCTCTTGAATTTGTAAGATACTTTTTCTCTGCCACAAAGAAATTGTATTTGAGGCTTATAATGAATGATAATATCGTTTGTTATCAGAAATTCATTCTAGTTTTTGATATACCTTTTCGCTTATATGACAAATTTCATGAAAAAACGTTGTTTTGATAATGTGGCCAACTTCGCCGAGACAGGGTTGGTAGTATTGATCTCCTAATGATCATAATTCCGCATTGAACATGGTCCCTGCTCACCTTATTGTTCGTTTCTGAGTAAACGCTCGTGTTCCGAGCAGAAACAAACAAGT